AGTTCTACGCGACAAGAATAAGGAATTCTTTGAGCGAATTTGGCGTGTAAATGGAGAAGAATTCGCGTAGCGTGTGTCACTCATTCGCTAGTTTACGATCTGCCATTTATCTCTTGAAAAATTTCATTTGCTTCTCGAGAAAGATTCGAAGAGAGACACCAAAAACGATTGATTTGGATGCGATGAATTACGTTACACGCGATTCTCTTCAAGTCGTGTTTCAAACTAGTTTACTACAATCTAATATCCGAGCTGATCACGAATACTATCGGAAAACTCCATTCGTTTTTTAACGAAGGAAGGCTCGAAGAAGAATCGAGTTCCATGGAAAATGAATAAGAAGTCTCGAAGCAGAATTCGACGACGAGTTACGCGCATCCCCTTCGATCGCGTTTCAAATTCATCAACGATTTCCTACCTACTCGTGCATGAATGCATTCGAAAAATTTCATTCCTTTCTTGAGCAAGGAAAGTTCGAAGAAAAGATTGCGCCGTCTATGGAAAACGAGTGCAAAATTTTCCGCCACAATTAGCACGAATCACGCCGCCAGAAATTAGTAATTACTTGGTATGTTATTAGGAAGAGAAACGAAAGAGAAGATGCCAATTTTGCGAAATAGTATGCGAAACAATGAAAAATGTAACGCAGGGGATGCAAGAAAGTAGAGAAACCTGGAAAACATCTAAAGAGAATACTTTACACGAGACTGAAGAAGGGTACACGTTACGCATGAATGAAGCAGATACTGAAAAAAAAAAGGAAGATATTAGATGGGAGTAAAGTGAGGGAAATAATCACGCGAGGAAGAAGACACGACAGGAAACAAATATAGGGCAAGCACGATAAATACAGAGCGGCCGAGCGAGATGAAATCACCGGATAAAATATCTGCATTACTTGTTGCCGTATAAAGATAACTTCTCGGGAGAAAGTTGTACTGTTTCGAGGAGCGCATGTAACACAGGAAATAGCTTTTTCTAATGATCATTCTTTTACCAGACCTCGATGGCTGTGATATATCTTTGTTAATAACCCTGTACACATTTATTTCTGGATATTTTCGTGCAGCGTGAAAAAAAGGAAAGAAAGAAGAACAAATTCAACGACCTATCATCGTGATCACTTAATTTTGAGATATTTCGAATTTTCTAAAAATTCCTCCAAACAGTGCAACTTCCTCCTCCGAAGCTTTTTTATACGACTTTCTATACGACAAATAATGCAGATATTTAAATGATCCTACTTAGCTGCTCTGTCTTATGCATACAATATGCATATAAATAGGTTAATAGTAATTAGAAAAATATGCGAGGTGTATGTAAAATACATGGCACACTTTGCAATAGCAAAAGACAAGCAAGTAAATAAACGATAATAAATAAAACTACTACTACTACTACTACTATTTAGGATGTAGATTTTGACAATGTATTTCGGAATGATAAAAATCCAAAAGCTATGCTGCATTCTATCAAATTAACAGCGAATTTTTCGTCGATTTACTATCAAAGCTATCAATTCGTCAGTTGATAACAAATTTACACGGTTCCTTCGCGGAGCTAACTTTTCAAAGCGTTAACCACGCGGGCGAGGTTTCGCTGGCTCGGGCCAATATTCCGGAGACTGCGGTTTTCCAACACCTTTGACGACAGCCGTTTTCGCTCTACGACAAGAGCGTACAATACCAGGCAGCAGGACGAAACACGTTCGGTCTGGCTGGCTCGTGATCGAACTACTTTCGAGGTGAATAACTTAATTGCGAAACCGGTCGATCTCGCGTCGCGACACGTTATTTCGATGGTCTAATTAGAAATTTCCTGCCGACGGATTCGTCCTGGCAAATTTCAACGTGTTTCAGCGTCGATCTCTGACGATCTTCCGGGTTAAAGCGTTCCGCGTACGTTTCCAATTACGACCATTTTGTCAACCACGAGGAATTTTGCGCAACACGTTTGTTCCTTGTTTACGCGATTCCAAAACGAGCGAAACCGTTTCTCTTCAGCGTAACGAGCTTCGTTTTCGACGTTAAGGGCTCCAGGCGAACAAAGGAAAATTTCGACGAAATTCTGTTACCAATTTTCGTCGCTTCGTTTCAACGCAAACAAAAAAGGATACAACATGGAAACGATTTTTCACTATTTTCATAGACGCAGCTCTGTCGCGAGTGAAATCGACGGAGGGAGAGGAGAAGCGCGAGAAATTACGGACACAAAACAGCAATTCTGGAAAACCAGACTTTGTTCCGTTCTACCTTACTGCTCGAAAATACGAAGTCCCATCGTCTTTTTATAAAATGTAATTTAGTTACGAAACCCCAAATAGAAAGATTCAGCACGATTTAATCCTTCGTCAGTGAGATTCAAATTTTATTTTAAAATCTACTATACGCCTATTCGAGTGATTTTTATGCAGTATTAAAAAGAACAATTTAAATTTCGTATAACATAGGACTGTTAATTTTACAAGGTGTTTTTAACGAATTAGTTTATCTTCCAAAGTATTCGTTATCGTAAAAGATATTTCGAGTAGGATGTCTTACGATGACCGACAGATTTGCCTAGAAGCATCTGCAAATGTTTAATTTAAAAGATATTTCGATCTTAATTTCGTCAAATTGAGCGTATGAAAAGCAGAGGAAACACAGAAGCTCTGTATTATCTTGCTTCCTACCGTAAGTTTTACAACGTTGAAGTTAAATCATCCCCTCAAGTACCCTAATACGTTTTTGTGGGGAACTAAAAGACGCATGGAATGGTGTGCGTAAAAAGATATAAATTCTATTAAAAAAAAAAAAGCAAAGTCATCTTGAAATCTGGAAGACACGTTCATCTATATAAGATGCGTGACCATCACGAGATGTCTCGCTCGAAACACGGTAAGTTTTACTTCAAGCAGTTTTTATCACAACGAATACCTTGCCAGATAATTCTGTGGAAAAGTCAAAATGTACATGTACGACACTCTGTATATTTTACAAGCAGTAACATTCCTATATTACAAATCGATCAAATCGTTAAGGTAAAATTTATGCGGTGCGTACCTTCGTTTCCAAACGATAATTATCCTTCGTTTAGTTCTCGTTAATTGGTTTTCCATTAACTCGGATATTTTTTAATAGCATTCACGCGTTATATTAATAATTTTACCAACGTTCATGTATTATCACTAATTTTATATTGTATATTTATAATTATATCGTGTTACAGTTCGACCAAAGTATCAACGTACGTATGTGTTCCTGAACGGGAATATACGTTCGCTGCACAATTTTAACAGACCGATTCCATTCTACATAGATGGGCGCTAACCGAATGTGCGAAGAATACCACCATTTTGCGAGAATTTTCTCGCGTGACTTTTTTCTATTTAAATGACACGGTCTAGCAAGCGAAAATAACGAGACACGCGAGACTACATTCGTAAATTCATATTGCTCGCCTGGATTCGTTGGCAATTTTTATCAAGCGCGCTACCTTTAAAATTCAATTTCCTTCGTCAGATGTTCGTAGAGCGGCATCTTTGGCTTCGTGATCGCATTCCCTTCTCACAATTTCCCTGTTCCTCGGCTACTGCTATAAGCGCTTGTCCATGAAATTACTCGGCGAGACCGGTCGAATAGCGAACATTCGAGGGAAATAGAAAAAGAAACGAAATTGGTTTGGGCAGCGTGACAAGCATCGCAAGATACGGACCATTTTTCTTTCGGTCACAGCTATTGTAGCTATCGAGTTTGGTGGGCGGTCTGAATTTTAGACGATGAAGTATCATTTATACGGAATAATCCATTTTAATAGCACGCGGAGAAAAAGATAAGATCGTGGAAGAAAGAAGAGTCATTCGACCGATATGGAAGAAGCGTAGAATTATTTCCAAATTTTTCAGGACCGAACTTTCATCTAGGATATTTGTTTACTTTCTACACCGTCCGCGACTCGATGAAGAAATTACGGACAATTTTATTCTTCGTGGACATCGGAACTACGAATGACAAAGCGAATGATAAAATAAAATTGATCTTTAAAACGCGATAAGAAGGCTGACGTACGTTGTTTCCGAAGGTTGTGAAACTATCGTATTTTGCTATTTAAAGTGCTCTTTATCTTCGAATTGCTTAATCTTCGAAACTATCGGTCAGATAAAGAAAATTCTTTTGAACTGATAAAAAAAAAAAAAAAAAGAAACTGTTGGTGTCATTTCAAAACAGATGTTTGAAATACATCGACGTAACGACATAATCGACGTAAAAATAGAAATTATATCATTGCTAAGTGTTTTTGGTAAATGATACAAAACAATCTACATTTACAGTCTGCGAGCACACGATCTGAGTCTACGTGTTGTTAGGAGCATTTGCTGCCAGTCGTTAACATCAATCTACATTTTCGTTAACGCCATTAAATAAATAAAATCCGGACAAAAATTTATTTCATAACGAACACCGATACTGAGGTCACCTATTAGGTCGTCCAGAAAGTTTCTTTCGTTTTATAAGGAACAATGGATGCGCAACATTTTCCGTTTTATATTATAGCAGAATTATGATCCATTTTGTTCTATCAAAATAAAGACCGCAACGTTCGATAGATTCGGTTTCGTGTTTGTACGAAGATGCATCGTCCGTAAAAGAAAGATACTGTCCGGACAACCTAATACTTGAAAACATCTCTTTATATCGTCATGCATCTCTTAAAAATCTCTCCAACGATGAAAAAAAAAGACAATTATGTTTTAATCGAAAATGACCAAAAGGACACAGCAGGGTAAACGGTCTCGCTATAACAACAAACCCATCCCTTTAACCGCTCAACGATACATCTTCCCTCTTTCGCTGTTCGCCTCGCTGGCTAGTCGTCGCGTTATTAATTTGTCCCTAACTAGGGACACTAACGCTAACGACTAGTACTCAACGAGTGATTCAGTCTCTTTGACGGGCACAGATGCAAGCGCATTAAGGGTGGCGCGGTATGATTATACCTACTTTGCATAAAGTGCCACTTACCACGACCACCGAATAGAGTATCTTGGCTTTTAAGTCGGTTGCGTCCTTCAGAGGTTGCAGAGCGTCCAGAGCGTCCAACGTATGCAAATGCGCCTGGTCGTAGAGAGCCGCGTATCTTTCGGCCAGTCGTTCGGCGGTCGCGTCGTCGAATGTTAAATTTGGAAAAGTCTCCTCCACCCTGAGAATCGTGCATCCGTTTCTGACCGATGGTTCCGGAGTCGGGCTGCAGCTCTCGTCCGTGTGATAACCAGCGCTGCTGCTGGATTCCTCGTCGTAGTCGTCCGGCAAATTTTCGCTCAGCTCGAATACCTGCGCGAAAATATTTCATGCGTTCGGACTTTCCATACAAACTCGCTATAACTCGAGCTGATTCTCTATTCGACCGTGCAAATTTTTAACGAATTTCGGCGCTCTTTCTCCGCGCTGTCCTTTCATCGTTCGCAACTCATCGGTCGTTTTTCAATTCGACTTTTCGATCGGTTTCGTTGCGTGGAATGTTGGCGCGGATTACGGCCAAGTAAAAACGACAAATGACAGTTTTGCGGTGTAGGAATACGCAGCGTTTCGAATTTTCCAGATCTGTGTCTATAGATAAGGGAGAGATATGTGTGCAATGTGATATATTATATGGCTGTGTGTGTTTCTTGCTCAGCTTGTATTAATTATCATGCAATTTTAATATAGATCGTTAGACGCCTCAATAATTTGTCACTATGATGAAAATTCATTATCAAAGTCAGTCTTCCGTTGCGCATATATGCTTATGAGAAATTTACGTGTCGTAGACACGTCCCAAGCGAAATTCTTCGCATTATTAAAAATTTCTGAACTCTCTTTACTGTGGTTGACAGACCACAGAGTGGTCGTGCTCCTAGTGCATGGTCAAACCAAAAAAAAAAGGAAAAAAAATTAAATTTGCGAGGGATAGCGTTGCTGAAAGGGCGCGCGTTTGTGAAGCAGCTAACTGTGTAATATCTTTCGCTGAGAATTTTGGCGAAGTTTGCCGATTGAGATACGGAACACCTCGTACGGACAGCAAGTACAGGGTGTAACAGGAGAAAATTTGATCAGAAGTATGCGAAAACGAACGATCGAATTTCTAAAAGTTAATATCGCAGTATCATTTTTTATCATGTGCCGAGTACGACTTTTGTAGAGTAAAATATTCCACCACACACTGGTTCTATTCTATGAAAAGGAAATCTCTGCTATTTTTCTCTTTTCGCGTCTCTCGTGTATACAAACTGAAATATTTTCGATTACTTTTCAGCATTCAAACGGAGAATGTTAAATAGTTCATTTGGCGTTCTATCAAAAAGTTATAACGCTAATAAGAAATACGAAATGGAAAATACGAACAGATTTACCATTACGATAATTGTAAACACCAGGTGTTCAGGTTAATGTCGATGAAAGATTTTGACGGAAATAAAAAATTGAATTTATTAGAAATCCTACGAAGCACGTTTCGATTACGTTCCTACCCTTCCTGCCTATTTGTTAAATATTTTATTGTTCGAGTTTCAGAATACGTCCCCTTTCAGAATCAGCCACAGTGATACGAAATAAATAATAGTTTGTACATAATATAAATAAAAGTCTAGTGATACGAAGTCAAACGATATCGTAGGTTTAGGTATCGTCCTTTTTGTATTTTCTATTTTCCTCGTAACAAACGAACGATACTGCAGGTCTAGGTAGTATTCTCCTCTTATCTTCCATTTTTCTTACAACTTTTCGGTAAAACTGCAAATGATGTGATAACGTGACACTCTTCTCTTGTTTATACCCATAGAATATACTAAGAAAACTGCGAAGATACGAAACGCCCTATATTACAAGGGATGAACAATATAAAAATTTATCAAAATACAGAGAAAATTGAGAAGAGTGATATCGATCACTGTGATATTAATCAACCAGCCACATGTGGTGGGAAAAGTGGCTGACCGGTGATGCTACGAATTTTGAAGATCGCAATTTTGTATCCTTTCTCGGAAACGTGTATCGACTTTCTACGAACGAAACTCGACAGGAGGAAAACCATACGACTGATTGTATTCGTTCTAGTGACTTCTGAAATTCGAGTGTACCATTGACATGATCTTGAGAATCTGCAACATTTTCTATTTCAGACATATCCTTTCGTACGATAAACGAGAGTTTAGTAGACGTAGATACGTCGACGTGGACGTACAGCGGGCTATGAATCATAGCGATCTGAGCGAAACTTCGGTGAATTTCAGTGAATCGTGTTTTTCGATACTTCAAAGTATAGTTGGATCAACTAACAAAAAATTTCCGATTCCGCGTTACAACTCGCTATAATATCGATCAATTTTTTATCAAACGATGGCGATAATCGAAAGAGGTAAGCTTTGGCCGAACGCTTTTTTCCTATCTCTTGCAATTTTGAAAACCGGGAAATATCCGAATTTTCAGCAGCCAATTTCATCCCCTTAAAAAGTGAATTCACGCAGCAATAAAAATTGCGCAACACACGCCTACGTATCCTCTGTGTATCCCCAAAGTTTCGTATTTTCTTCAATTTACATCGTTACAATTCTCTATAATTATCTACGTAGTATAATTTTTCCGATTATGTTTCACAATTATCTAGGAGAATATAAAAATTCATCGAAATTATCAAGCTTCTAAAAGTAGTTTACCAAGTATCAAACAATTGAAATACAAGTGTAAAATGTTGGTACTGAACCGTGAACGATCAATCTATTCCCTACGTGTAAACCTACGAGTCATCGAACGAATCTGTAGCGACACTCGATGCTTCGATTCCGATAGCTAACCACATCGCCAAAGGTATATTAGCATTCAAATTTCATTCGGTGTCTCAAGTACCTACGTACGTTCGATGATTACCGGCGGGCCACGGAAATTGATGGAACCGTTTCACGGAATCCTGTATTATTCATGGTGTACGTAACGAGATCGTGCCCTTCGCGGGATGATTTATGCGAAATCTGTGCACAACGTCTTCCAGCAAACGCTTTCGATGAATATTAAATACGTAATTGTTTGTAATTAGTCAGTAATTCCGCGGAAGATTGAATCAAAGTTAAGAAGAACGACAAAATCTTTTAGATTTTAACTTTCACGACGACTAAACGATACAGATATCGGTGGTTCTTCGTTCGTTGCGGTTCTACTCAGAAGAGTCAGAAACTTCTCAATAATAAAACTATACCTAGAAGCAAGTTCTTTTTGCAAGTTGCACGCAACTGGCGTGTCCTTCCTCGTGCAATTTTACGAAACGATTTATCGATAGAAAAAAGGATATTAGACAGTGTGTGACCGACAATGTGGAACACAAAGGATATTTAAAATAGAGATGGTTGCGAAGAACGAAAGAAACGTGTAGTTCCGGAGGCCGTACTGTTTCACGAGCAATCCGTTAACGCGTGTCGTTGTTAAATGTGTAACTTCGATCGATAGGACGAGTCTGCATTTTATTAGATAGGAAGATATCGCAAGCGGCACGGTTACTGCAAGTAGACTCGTGTAATTCAAGATCGCGAGTGTCCTTAAGGGACGACGCGTGACCGGAGACTTTGTGCTTTGTGGATTCAGCTTTGTCCATCAACTACGTCACTGCTGAACTCGCTTCTCGTGGGACTGCTTGCGGTTACAACAGTTCCCGTGAAACTACATTATATTATCTCCTTGGCGAATATTTCTCTGGCTTTCGGGCAAAATATTAGAGAGACCCGTATAAAATCCTATGTATAAGATTCTACGTCTGTAACTTTTTTAACTGGACCTACGTGTGCATCGAGCTTTTATCTCATTCGACTTTATTTCATTTCTGCGATTTTATTTTATGTTAATATAAGAAACATATTCTTTAGCGTTGTCCATTAGTTTAGTACAAATGTGTCAAGGTAGATAAGTTGGATGGATAAAATTTACTTTGAGAATACACTCGAATTTCTCAGACAAAATTGCATCTGCATAGTACACACACGGTGTCTGCTCATCGTTGTATTTTACATATTAATTACAATAATTAGATATATATATATATAGAATATAATAATTAGGTGTCTACGTGTTTAAACAGATGTAAATTCGTTGTACAGATACAATTTTTCTTGTATATGAGATTTCTTCAGAGCTAACTGCACCGATATCTATCTTCAGATCATAATCGATGGACTTTCACCAGTTTCAAAATTTGCGAATCGTACGATTTATTAGATTTTAATTATTCAGAATCGACGTTTTATGCCTCATTCCAGTCTTGTTTACAGACATCTATAGGACATTTGAAAAATGTAAATGGAGCACAAGTAGATAAATTGAAATCACTATACTATCATTATGCTGGACGACTGCAGTCAACGCATACCTGCACCACTATCAGATTCTAACGTTGACACGAGGTTATCCATTGAGAAAAGGTCACAGCAATTTCTTCGATCTTGGATTTGCACTTTGATAACAACCCGATATACATGTAAAACTATTATTAATTTAATAACACTTTAAATGTAATGGCAACTCACGAACACATTATCGAATCGCGTTCAAACGACTCGTTCACATTATTCACTGTCATATGTTTTCCATTATTATCGATGCCTCGACTGTTTCGACAAGCTACAAATTTGTAAATGGACCTTTAAAACGAACGACCATGCGATTCCATTTATCAACGAAATTTCAATCGATCGAAACGGACAAAAATATTTTAAAGTCTAAATTATAAATTGTCCATAAAAATTGAGAGATCGCGTCAAAATTTGTCGTCTTCGCAATTTCATTAAAAAATGATTTTCGAAATAAACGCTGCAGTTAGATAATTTTTGTAGCCGCTGCATGTATACGAATGCGATATGATAAATTTCTGTGTTGCTGAATGCTAACGTTCGAGGGAAACTTACTCGTAGATTATCCTGGTTCATCAATTGTAGTGCTAGCTCGCAGCCTCTGGAGAATTGCAGCAATCTGGCGGCTAGCGGTGGATTCTTCGTATTCCCGCCGAAAGTGGATTTCCTCAAGGCTGTCCATTGTCTGAGAGCTTCCTTGTCCTGTTCGACCCTTCGCTTCAACTCGGATAACAGACTTTCTAAGCTACTTGGGTCGCCTGCTTTCTCCAACGTGTTCAACAAACTCTGATTATCGATCAACCTCTGCTGAATCTCGCTGTACTTGAGCGAAAGTTGCCTCTGATGCGACGCCGCCTGTACACCTTGGTCCGCTGAAAATGTCAAACGATTACTTTCCTTTCAATCTGTACTTTATACGAGAAATCTATGATGTCGCTTAATCGCCACACCACCATCGAATAGAAGCATAGTTTACAATTAACCTGTATACTTGGCCATGTTAAATTGGCCTGTGATTCGACGAGCAAATTAATTATCGATTTCAATGAATTTCAGCGCCGGTATTTATTCGACGATTAACGCGAATCGAGCGAAAGAGCGTCGATTTCATATCCATCGTTCGACGCGTTACTTGCTTTTGTCTCATCGGCTGCTATTTCTCGTAAACGATATGCACAAGGCTTTCCAGGTTTCTCCTGGCGAAGCAAAGTTCTCAGTCAGTGATCTCGATCGCGACATATATTCTATGAGCATAATCGAGCAAGAAATATACGAAGAACACGGGCGACTGAAAAAGTTTCGTCAAAAGCTCTTTGTATTTCATTTCGTATTCCATGTTTCGATTATAACTTGCTGGTAAGGTTTCGAGCGAACAAACGAAACTTTCACAAATAAGCGTTACACACTACAAAACATCTAATTATTTTATTTAACGTAACACTGTAAAAGCGAAGTTTCGCGAATAAATTTGACAAAGTATGCGTCTCCTAGTCGTTCTATTCAACGGAAAACTGCAAGAAAAGGTGGCCACAAATCGCACAAACGGAGTGACCTTTGAAAAATTTCGACAATCCAATTTTTCAAATCGATTTTCATCCCGCTCACAGAGATCAAAAAACCGATGTTGGTCTAACAGGTTAAGCGCGGATGACTCCACGCTGGTGTCATTAGCTGAGCTGTTCCCGGTAGCGGATAACGCCACTCGCCATTCAACGTGTTAAGGAGAGAAAAATTGCAGTCAAATGGAATGGCAACGAGAACACGACTAAACAGTTAGCGCGTTAAGGACGAAGAAGAGCAAAGAGACAGGTACAGGGTTGGAAACGAATACGCATCGTGTTTTACCATGTTGAGGCTCGCAACGATGACGATGACGTGGACGAGTAAACGTGCTTTCGTGTAAACGCATTAATGTCCCATGCATCGGCGTATTTGCATTGGGAAATGTAACGTGTCCGGTGCAGCTGCGTTAAAATCCAATACTTCACGGTTCAGCGGGCCTCTAACACGGCCGGATATCGACGCGGACATCCGTTGCCAGCTTTTCACCGAGCAAAAGTTAACGACTTTTGTGCACCGACGCAACACTTTCGCGCACTGCCGCGTTTTCGTCCTCGCTGGCTTCCACATCTCGACTCGAGAATGCAATCGTTTTCTTCTCACCGACGCCGTCCCCTCGAACGGTTCTGGAAATTGAATCGAAACCATTTTTCGCGCCGGTTCTTCGCGATCGATTCCTGCAATCGTTGAAAGCAAACTCGCAGCGTGTCGTTTCAGATACCGGCTGACTGTAATCGGATCTGGAACAGCGTATCGCGACCCATTCAATCGTACAAACTTTCAGACTTTCTCTCGTGAAGTGATCCGCGTATCTATAATCCACATCGTCCGACCACGTAATATATTCCGACCGAATAACACGTGAAAGCGTGCACGGCGCGATTCCTTGTGGAAAAATAAGGGAAATATATGGAATAAAATTTGTTCGTTCTCGGCTTAGTTTTCGAGAAAGTCGAGCTCGAAAATTTTCCCAAGTACAAGTATACTTGAAGGAAGCGTGGCTAATTTCGGCCTGGGCAGGACTTGGTAATCGACAGGAGATTATTCTACGCGCGGAAACGAGTAGAAAATGTAGAATAACGTTTTCCTGTTTCAGGCTTCATTTTCGAGAAAATAGAGTTTCAACATGTTCAGTTAATAATCGGTGTGGTACACGCGCATGACAAATTTTCGCATTTATCTTTCTCCCAAACAAAGAGTCTTGCGAAAAGAGTTCACGCTACGTTTTCCACTTATCTTTGCACGTAGGCTGACCTCCTGCCTCCTTGTTTGTACGGTGTTTTCTATTTATCTTAATGTGTAGCTTCGCTCTTCCAAGTATCATGATCTGTCTTATATATACCCTGTATATATATACGTTACAATTTCTTTAAACAATTTCTGTAACTTAATTTTTCCAACTTTCATTAAAATCATTTCAGTATATAGTAGTAATAGGTGCACGAACTTCTCGATACACTGTTTCACACGCGTATACATATACCCATGAAATTACACGTACAATGTTAAACCCTAAGACACCTTGTGCAATATATGAGAACCGAATTCTACAGCGGCACTATCACGAGATGGTAACAGCGTCGTCCAGGCTTGTCTGCACCGGGTCTAAGCCCCCGACGCGGCGGTAAAAAGAATTGCCCGTTCCCACGCAAGTTCCCACTCGCGAAACGATATTTCGTCATTACCCATAACGAACGTTATCGGTTAAAAATCGCCATGGATTACCTCTGTGAGTTCTCGCGTGCTTGCCGAAGCTCTCGATCTTGTGCACGGCCAACTTGTACGCCTCGATTCTGCTCTCCAGCTGCTCCTTCAGCGCCACGGGTAAAGGCACCAGATTCGAGGCCCCGGCGTTCTCCAAATTGCTTGGATGACAGGATGCCACCAATCCGTGCTTGCCCAAACCTTCCACCGCCCTGTCCAAAGTCCTTTTCCTAGCGGCCAGGATGCTCCTCGCGTTAGGAGCCAATTTGTTCAGGGAGATCAGCAGCTTGCACCAGATCCTCAGACGGAAATGATCCTGGCTGATCGAGATCAGATAGACGATCCTCCAAAGGACTTGCTCCACTTTCAAGATTTTCGCGTCGTTCACGTTCAACTCGACGAGCCTCGAGTAGAGAGCCTCCAGCAGGGACAGGCTATGAGGAAGCGTTTCGATCAACAGGTCCACGGGAATGTCCGGCAGAGTCGTCCTCAAGGTATAGTGTGGCAGTTTCATGAGAAAAGCGGCTGCTTCTCTGTATTGTCTTCCCTCGTACAATCTAAGGAGCCTGTATTACACAAAGACGTGGTATTCAGAGATCGTGTTCAAGCACGGAGCTTGCTTTCAGATATGTAACAGTTCGCCCGGTATTATTGGGTAAACGCCGCGTGTCTACGAATTTAAAGGACAATACAAAGTGGCTAGCTTCAGCATGTTCAGCAGATAACAGATCACCTGACACGTTGGTATTTCATTGAAATTTCCGCGAATATCTCTACTACGTCTTGCTGTAATCGATGACCCTGTCTCTCTGTGTATCTACATATTCTATCGCGACGCACCGCAGGGATGCAATAAAGCCGTTCCGTTTGTCCAACCGATCGATATAACCGTAATCGTAGCGGACTCTGGCACGCGCGATAATCCATTTTAGACCGCGAAACGAATTCCCTAGATACGCGAATTACACGGCCGAATCGATTACACGCTAAGCGATCTTTTGTTTCCTCTACGAACCAGGTTAACTCGAACCCTGTTGTTCTCCTCGCTTCCCTTTCGCGTTTGTACTTTCTCGGATGTTTTCCTTTCTGACGCTGGTGCGCTGTATTTTTGAAGACTGTGTATGGGTTACGCAAAAAGTAGCAAAGCTCGAACACTAAAATTCATTAGTTAAGAACTGCCTGTATTTTAATATCCTTCTGTGGTAAATTTTCGTATTCGTTTTTTCGCATTTTCAGCTTGCATTACGCTTCTATCTTTTTACGTACTTTACAATCCTTTCGCATACTAATGAGAATCCGTATGCTCGCATATGGAATAAACGATGGTAATAATTACATAGAAAAACTTCAGCGAAGATTTCACAGATATCTCGACTAATCTCTACGGAATTACGAGCGTGAATTAACAACAATATAATATTCGTATACCTTCTCAGAGCCATTCGTGGATTCGATCCCTCGTCCTCGGGCAAACCGACTTGACCAACTAGAAACTGAGTACCAGGACCCCACACGAGTCTTTGAATAGGATTCCTAAGTCTTTCCGGTCTTATCCTCTCGCAAGAATTCAGTCCAACCAGTGGCATAGTTCTTCTACTCATCTTCGCTTTCTTTTATTCTTCTTCTTCGTGTCTCTTCCTATTATCGTCTCCTACGAGTAAAAATTGTCGTTCACAAATTACCGCTACAAGATCAACGTTGCCATTACATGCAAATTATCCTTCGCACGATTTCAAATCCAACCACGCAGATCATCCGCCTTGCGCGATCGATCTTCTTCAACCTCGTTCGCTCTTCGAGATTCTTCTTTTCTAAATTTCGCTTTCCAACACTTTCACGATATTCCTCGCGTTCTATCGTGATACGACTTACACTGCTCGACTCGACTGTAACCTTCAACCTGTACGTTCGAATCGAAAGGATTTTCCTGACTCCTCTCCGCAATCTCGAGTTCCGATCGAACCTCTCCGTTTCACGCGTTTCCTCGCCTCGACTTTGCGCTCGTGCCGCCACTTTCTCCTAGATCTGTTCGGTCAGAGTGACTCTGTCCATTGAGAAACGCGCGGATGAGTCACCTCTCGTTGGTCCATGCTCGTTGCTTTCTTCGCCACTCGTCGATCTTTCTCGCTCGTCAACACGGTTTTCTCTAACGACCGATCTTCCTGCACGAAACTCGGGCTGGCCTATAGCCTCGAGGTTGACCGACCCACTTCTTCTCCTTCGACGGACATGGACCTGCGAATGGAATAATTTCGGTGAGCCTTTTCCGACCTTCGCCGACCCAATCCACTGCGTCAAAATATTTTACGCTCGCTTCGACGAACGATTTTCACGGACGCGTTCTATTCTCTTGCTCGGAAGGAATTTCTTCGTTCGACTGTTTCGCAAAATATTTTGCTCGAGAAAAATCGGTCGACTTGCTGCCGGTCGCGATGTACGTCGTTCTCGTGCGTCATTTTCTTTCGAATTCCCCTCGCGTGGAAGAAATTTCACATCGGTTGCGATCTCATTTGCTGGATAATTTCGAAACATGGGAATTCGCAGGTGTGTGCGATGCATAGTCATGACGAGCGGAGAATAAATAGCAAACTCGTGATAGAATGTTCGCTCTTTTTTTAGCGAATCGCGAGTTTATTTTGTCTGCCGGCTTCGCGCTTTTGTACTGTATTGCTCTGCGGGGAATTCCCTGTTATTTTTGACGGGATATGGGATGGCTTTCATCAAGTACGTTCTTTAGTTAGCATTGCGTAGTGCGCTGATTTTTATGCAAATGCAAAAACCCAGAGAGAATGCGCGCGAGACGCAGAAATATACAAAATATTCAGAATAAGCCTGATATTTAGTAAATAAAACTAATTTCTCCTTAGGTTCTGGTGCTTAGAAAAATATCAATAATCGCACAAATATCCGCGATTTAATTATCATTGCACGCTTCAAATATCGCTTCGAATAGAATGAATCAGCGTCCTTTTTCTGATGATTTTAACGAGGAATTGAATAAATCTAAATGCTTCTTCTTCGTTATATATTGGGTTGGTAACCAAGTAATTGCGGATTTTATCATTAGGCGATATTGACAAAAGCCGCAATCACTTAGTTGCCAACTCAATATACCGCAACTCTTCTTGCGCACATAATTCGCTATAGCGAAGCTTCAACATTCTTCTCATACTTGTTTTTAACGTATGTACACCTACATTCGCTGTATGAGCGATGAAAAATTGCCTTAAAATAACATGGAGATCAAAATGTAACATAAGAAAATCGCGTCAACGTATAGTTTTTAGGAATTTTTTAAGTTTGTCGAGTATACGCTAACGTATAACCGTCTGGACATTTTCACCGATTCACAGCGAAGATACGTGTATGAATTAACGATGAACTAACTCGACAGCAGCGTTCGCTATCGTCTTATAGAATGAACAAATGATTAATCGTAACGATGTTTCCAAAAATTGACCGACAATATACGAATACTCGAGCAACTTTGCTTCTCATCGAAAGGAAAATCGTTGCAGCCGATCGTCTGGAAAAAGAGGGAGTAAGACGAGAAACGATTCGAAAGGCAGTATCACGAGCAGACATAAATTAGGATCGTTCCTAAGAGAATCATTAAGAACAGATTAAAGCGAGTACCGGTACTCGTTAATCACGGGACAGATGCGTCAAGAGCCTCGATAGGATTCGACGCGTTTTCGCGGCAGCTGTCGTAACGTGGCATTAAATTCGATTTATCGGCTGCAAAGTGTATTGACAAATACAATTTACTAGCAAGACCGCGTTCGCCGGCTCGTGCAAAATATACCTTCTATGAATATCCCCTGATCAATTTGCGTAACGCTATTCGGAAGCAAACGCGAATTTTAAACTGACAGATTCGCCGTTGGACGAAATATACTACGATCCTGCACGTTTTTATTTTCGTTTTTTTTCTTTCTTTGATAGGAAAGAACGAGTTAGAATTAGACACGCTAAACCGACACGCTCTCGTCTTATAACTTGCAATGGAAGAGTCCATACTAGCAGATCTTGGACGAAACACTCGCTCTTTCTGTCTTCTCTCGTTGTGTTTAAGGTATAGGTCTGTTAGGTGAGCCTTACTGAAGAGTCCATACTATTTATAACTTGCAATGAGCCAAATAAGTGAAAATTAGTGATTGCTATAACTATATCTCGCCGATGGATTGTTCTCCTGATCGTAGTAACGTTCCCCGATGGAAATTTAAATTTCGTCTTGCGAATGAGATTCAGACTCGTCTAAATCGTAAAAAACACTGGGAAAATCTTCAGTTTCTTAAAGATATCAATTTGTATCGTGTACTGTGATATCGTAAGCTTGGCTCTAACTCACACTGTGTCGTGTTAACTTAAGTTTAGGCTAATCGTGCTGTATCGTATCGTAACTGTATCTGTACATTGTATATGTTCGAGATATATAGATACTAATATTATTTCAGAAAGCAATTATTTCAGTTTGTCACTTGCCTTACTGTATTTTACACTTCCTTTCGCCGCTGTACCTTCTTCTTCTGTATTTCGTTAATCGCGATAGCTAACGACCATAAAGAACGATCGACGCGACTTTAGATAAAATAAACGAAAAGAAAAATGAAACGTATACGTGTGTCTTTGTTCGACCGATACACACAGCCACTGACATAAGTATCACAGTTGTTCTTTTCATTCCAAGGCGACTGTTTTCTCGCGAAGGCAACCCTCGAGCCTCGAAAGCACTGAAATTCCCAAGGAACTCTGCGAAAGTTCACCGTGGTTGATCGACACGAGACGAGGACACCGAAGAACGAATGAATTTTCGGCGGCCGTGAAACTCGACTGATACGACATGTCTGCAAGAAGCGCTGGCAACGAAATCCTTCGCCGTCTCTCGGAGGATACACGCGGGCCCCGTCTCAGCTTGGCTTAATGGAGGTGGAACTCACAGGGAGAATCGCGTGGATGGATGGCTCTCACGAGAGAGATCGGTAACTCGTGCTGATGGAGTAAACGGCCTCTTACTCTTTCCTGCGTGTACCACTTCGTGCAAGAAATATCGCGATGCGCTGGCAAAGTGTAAAAATCCTCGCACTTTCAGGTTGTTAGCGAACTGGTGGGAAAGTAACGTCTAGACTGCAAATTTTTACGCATCGTTACATCCTAGAAATGGAAGCTAAGTAGAAATTTGATCTTCTTTCGGTCATTTCTCACCGAATCGTAGTCCCTGTATCGTCGGAAGATTTCCCAAGTTTGAGGAAAACAGGAAAGAACGGATGTCGAATTTGCAAGTTTCGTGATAAAGATGTTCTTAGATCGTTGCAAGTTCTCTATCCGATTCGAACAAAGGTAGAATCGAAGAATAAAGAACTCGGTGGTCGCAGAACATGGTTAGTCTCTTGAAAGTTAGAATGAATGTTCCACTTTGAATATCTCGTATATTTATATATTTTTGCATATTACACGCGTTTCTGTGCGTTTTCGCATCATCAAAGATCCCACGAACACGCGAAACTGCAGTCTGGTAACGTGGCAATTGGCAGTGCGATAATAATACGCTGGAAATATCGCTTCGATGCTTCGTTCGTTACTAGATACGTAACGAACGAGAAAACAAAGATACTCGAGCTTCATAGAAATGCCGACTCGAGTCCAACGCTGGCCTGAACAAGAGAAAATGGAATAATATGTCGGGAATAAAGGAAAAAGGGGGAAGCGGGGAGAAAAAAGGCTGGAAGAATGGGAAAGTGAGACGAGCGAGCAACGACAAACGAACGAGCTGGGCAAATGAAAATAATGAACGCCTAGGAGAACGAGGCTAAAGTAATAAGAAACAAGCGCCGGATCAGGATGAGAAAATCTCACGAAGGACCGAGAAAATAAACGAAGGAAGGAGAAGATAGGCGATAACGAAAGGGCAGCGCAGAGAAACGAAGGAAACGTAGAGAAGAAAAGTCTCCGAGGAACGCAATTACGAAATAAGCTTTTTCTCTAAAGAGCAACTCTGTCGAGATATACAGCGTGGGCTTGAGTATAACTAGATCAACGAACGAGAGAGATCACCGGAGATCAGAAATGATCAGGCAATGTCAGGAGCTGAGAGGCAAAGTAAAGGCGCGTACTCGCAAAGCAAACACGTTCGTGCCAATTTTTCGTGCCAATTTCTTTATTTTTATCGTGCATTAAAGTATTCGTTTTGTAGTAATCAATTTTTAAGTAAACGTTTGAATAAAACAACCATTAAGTTTTGTTTTTATCGATCCTATTAAAAAAATTATTATGAATTACGTGTAATCAATGTTAACAAGATTTATAATAAAAATATAGAAGTCTTAGAAATTCGGTCGTCGTAATAATCAGAATATTCGTAGGCTTTCCTTATGTCAGAGTTTAGATCTGGAAAAATGAAAACCGTGCAAGCATCTCTTTTGCCCGCCAACTTCTTCGCCGAGCAACAGTAAGGACGCGCCATAAAGTTACTTGAAAATAGAGCAATTCACGTGGGACTTGTGACGAAACACGGTCATTTCGCAAGTTCTCTTGCATCCTACCAGTTACAGTTAATATGCAAACGGGGCAACAGACTCGCAAAACGGTACTGAATTTATACGAGGTCCTTGGTATGTACATTTGGTGGATATCTTTTCGATCAAAGCGTCCTTTGGCCGGCGCTAATAACCGTTTACGTACGGTTGCCGCATCATTAAAATATTACATACATCGTACGAAGGAGAAAAAGAAAAAAAGAAAAAAAGCCAGACGGAAGAACGAGACTTCGAGTAAGAGGCCGAAAAAAAGGAAAAAAGAAAAAGAAAAAAGAACGCGAGTAAGAACCGGAGACGGGATTGCCGACCTACTGTCCTGCATACCACGAGGGACTACCTGCCACGAAAAGACACGCTACACGTGGTCGAAAACCCGGAGGATTCCCTTTTTAACCAGCGATCGTAACAGTTATAACAAAAATTTCAAAAATTGCAACATCTTTAAAAATTAGTAGCTCAAGTACCTTAGTTTAAATGATTCTGCTTACGAATAACCATTAGTTAAGCGATCGACATTCTTTTTATTACCATCATCCATAATGGAACTTATTTTTGGTTACCAATAACCGTTATCGATGACAGAATTATTTTTGATTGCTCAATTTTTATTAAAATCACTGATAATTGGTACCTCGATTATTTCCCACATGTACAACAAATCCATAATCCAATTGTTAATTAGTAAATTATTCTGCAAAA